ATTTAGCGTTGTTGTGAATTTATTGTTTTGCACTATTGTGAATTCCTCGCTTATTCTGCATAATATGCATTTCCTCAGTGACCCCCATCTTCCACATAAAGACATAAACAAAGCAGAAAATAGAAGACAGAAAATGCAGACCTGGCTCCATATATAGCATTTATAATATCATGTGCAAAATAAACAAAATATCATGCAAGGAAGTCAGATAAAAATGCATTTTCCCCACTGGCTTCTACCTTCAATAAAGAAACAGACATGGATATATAGCATGAAACTGGAGACAGAAAATGCGGGCTTGGCAAAATGGCATGTGCAAAATAAGCAGAATACCTTGCACGGAAGTCAGGTAAATATGGCCTGAGCGTTTTTGATGAATCCGCGAGCGCCAGTTTTTGACAGCAGTGTCGAGCGGTGCTGGCAGCACGAGTTTGGCAATAATTCACGCCGACATGTTGGTTTTCACGGTCACTTTGCACCGGCCTGACAAAAATACTGCCAGCTGTCGTCTGGGTCCATGTTTTGGTTAGCGGGTAGCTACCTGGTTATTGATATATCCATTGATAGATCAGTTGATTTCTTTAACATTATTTCCTTAATATTAATCATTAATAGATTTGCTATCTTGCATGAATGATTTGTTGTTGCCATTTTCGATGTCGTGACGTAGATGTACTAGTGACCTCTTTTGGACATCAGCTTGCAAATAAATCTAAACGGACTGCAAGTTTTAAAGGTGAACACCTTAGAACAAGAATTTATGAATGACTAAATAATTAGATAAACAAAAGAACGAATTAATAAACAAACGGATGCACGATCGAACGAATTGAGGTTTACAATTGTGTCGCAATGATATTTTTGGGTTTGATATTTTAATAGATGGTTATTTTTGTGTCGCGTATACCGAACAAAATCTCCGTCCACATGGAAAAACAGAGGCCGTCCCAACCTTCTACCCCTGCTTGTATCCCGGGTCAACCCGTCCATCTGGCTAATGTTGTAGCGGGTCAGCTGGAGTGAACTGGAGACGGTTTCATGCTGTTGAGGTTTGTGTCCGTGATGACAGGAGGACTGTAAATATAACACCCGTCTTTTTCTGCGACTGTCAACTTAGGGAGGGCTGTTACAGTCATACTTTATATCGGAATAACGACTTCTAGAATAATACTAAGACGACGACAATTCGAATTCTTTTAGGCTCTTAGAATTTTCCTTCCTTCCTTCTTTCTTAGAAGTAGTTATGTTTACCGAAGGAAAGCATATTGTTTTTGCTCCTTTTCCTCTTCTCTTTCTCCTAGCAAATAAGGTCAATCACCTGAACCAGAGGCCTGTCACCATGGTAACTAGAGTAGGGCTACATCATGTTGTAATCTTATAGCAGGAGGGATTTAGACTCCTGTCTGACCATATATATGGATGTGTTTGAGTAAGAATTAACATAACAGAGCAGGCCATATGCAAAGGTACACATAATACATTTGATTTGCAAATGTGACCTTTCTAATTCTTTCTTTCTCTTTCTTTGACTTCTTTCTTTCCTCCTCTCTCTCTCTCTTCTTTCTTTATTTCTTCTTCCAATTCTCTTTCTTTTATTTCTTCCTCGTCAACCTGGAAATCATACAACGAATGCGACAGGGCCCATAGACGACTGTTCTAAGCCTTCTCCGTCACACATTATGTACATCTAGCTCATCGTTGTCACCCTAAACTTTACAGTGTCTAAACCATTTCTTCATTTCCCGTTGAATAGAGCCGTTAAACTCTGGTATTTCCTGTCAAATGGCTCAGGTACGGCCTACACGTGTTGTTCCCGTATGTCCACAGATTTAGTAGTGTGTACAGTCAGTGGTGTAAATGTTAGCAATTCCGTCGATGTTGTAAGTAAGCCACAATCCGCATGACACAGGTGGAGCCCATTGGCTAGGAAAAAATGTCATATTTCTGCCCGACCCTAGCAAGATTTCAAGACAAGGGGGGGGGGGGGTACCGCTGGCAAGGGACATAAATTTTTTTATCCAAGACGGAGAGATAGAATGTAGAATTGTTTTCCATCATATTCTATGCATGGCAATATATTATCTTATTTTATTCACATAGATTGAATTGATTGAACCGAAAGCACATAATGCCCTTATAAGGATCCTTTGCTCATAAAGCATAAAGAGCACAATCTCAAAGTTAGGGTAACAAATCCAAAACGTACAGTCTGACATAAAATGAAAATGGCTGTTATATTATCGGCGAACGAAAAGATATAACGTAATGCAACTTTCAGACAAATCAAGTAACTGGCTAAATTCTCTGAAAAGACAAACGTACGTTTTAGATAGCGTCCACTATCTTTCATTAGTGATCGAGAATGCGTCTGAGGACAAGTGTAACTTTTAGTCGTTCGTAATTTCCATTATTTGTACGTAAAGTACAGTATTCACTACACATTGATTAAATATATCACTGTTTCTATTGAAAATGGGGAACGAGTAGAAGATCTCGGTGACATATCTGGAATGAAGGAGGCTACAAATAACATCTTAAAGTAAATCTCAAGGACCGGAAACGCTTCTTACGCCCTCTGAGCACCACCTGTCACACACCTGTCTGGAGAAGACGTCTTGAAGACGTGCCTCCGCACCTGTCACACGTCTGTTGTTCCTGAGCCTTCCGGTATCACTTTCGCCTGTCTCGGCTTAGCGAGGAAGTCGGTGATGATACGGGTTTGGGCCTGGGGTTATTTTGGGTACTTCTGTTTTGCTTGGTTAATTTTGAGTTACGTAATGTTCTACCCTGATGTCTAACCTTCCTCTCAAATATCAGAGTTATCAACCAAGAATTGAGGTGTTCAAAAACTCGTATTTCCCAAGAACTATTGTAGAGTGGAACTCGTTGCCACCAAGAACAGTTGGGGAATCATCACTAGAAAGCTTTAAATAACTTCTGCAATTAAATGTGCAAAGATTGAGTGTAACAAGTCGTTCGGTGTGATATAGCTAGCTGCCGCCGCGCCGCGTGCCTGCAAAGCTGGTGTGTTACGCCGAAGGGCGGTCATACCGGCTATACAGATACTGATACAGATAGTGACATTCAGTGCAAAATGAACCAGTAAACCTACATTCAGTGCTCTGTGAACCAGTCATAACTCCTGATGAAGATGACAGACGGTCATCGAAACGTCGGCTCCTGTAAACAAGTGGTTGTGAATCAAGAATTTTGTGAGTCAGTCCAGGCTCTGGATATTCTCACAACCGGAGCTTCGGGCTAACGTTATCTAAACGCAAAGCAGACAGAGGAGAAGCCGCCTTGTTCCTGAGATACTCCGAGAGGACAGCGGTTAGTTCTGTTTCCGATAAAATCGCAAAACTCACGGTGGTCCGATCCACAAGCACATGTTGAGGTAAGCAAGCCATTAAATGAAGTTGACCACCCTGTATTACTATTAGTATTAGCTCGGTGACTAGAACACTTTGTATTAGCCTAGTATAGTATCCTTGTATGTTCCTTATAAATGTATGTATGCTAAGTCAAGTAGTGTATCTTTTGTCTCCAATTTTCTACATACGTCTGTAATGTTTATGTTAAGTCTTGACCTGTACCTAGCCCGTCGTGGCATGAATGTACAATAAAGGTATTTCATCATTAACAAACACTTGTGATGAATCGTAAGAGTTTAGAGGTATGGAGATATGTCAAAGCAACAGAGCTGGGATTGACCGTTGTAGCAATACTCTATTTTTGAAGGGATTTTGCTTATTAGCTGATACATAATTACTGTATAATGAATGTGGCAATGAAAACATGCATGCACTCTGTTCCTCTTGTTCTAAACATTGGCAACAGCCCTTTGAATTGTTGCCAAAATACTACGACTCAAGTCTCAGATTTATGAAGTGTGTTTGAAGAAAGGTGTACGCAACACCTCAACACCTGTGGCCAGGTGTGGTACTTAATACCTGTCCACATTGTTCTTCCCTTTAAACCCTTGGCGGGAAACAGGCGCGGAGGTCAGAGGTGGTACGTTGGTGGTCCGCCTGTGGACGTCACAGTAGAGTTGGGTGGAGCTCTTCTGCATTGTTTCACTCGGACACACCTTTGTGGAGTTATGTTGATGTTTTGAGTGCGTTCACCGCTCCTCGGTTTAAGGTTTAAAAACGAGCAGGACGTCAACAACTTAAACTTTCGCACACTTGAAGTTTGATTGCTGAAGAGCGAGCTACTGTTTCGATGCGCGTCGGGGCAACTCTGGTGCCTTGTCTACCCAGCTACTTCTTACAGGTTTCTGGCTCAAATCGAAACAGGTAGGACAGGTGGTGTTTTGTCGTGCGATAGTTTCAATATAGCCCGTTTGCCTTCGTATTTTCTGACCAGGGCTACCATACTTGCTACATAAAAATATGGAGTATGGTAGCCCGGACACATGCATCGTACGATCGAGCCGTACGTTCGCAAACAGAGGCCATTCTTGCTATAGTCATGCGTATGTCGTAGAAATTATATATGTCTTCTTAGGGAAAAGGCTGTCTTAGATCCTTGTCAGCGTTTGGTTCTGTAACAGCCTGCTTGAAAATTCTACGACATAAAAACTGTGCGACGGCCTATATGACCGTATGCATAGCCTGGATGCCAGACCCATAGCACACTAGGCCCACAGCCCAGCATACTGGATAACGCATTTGGGTCAGATAGCTGAGGAAGACTGAGTGATTCAGTCGAAAATTTCTGGTGAGTCAAATTTTGAGTTGGAGAACAGTTTACGTTTTTCATAATGTAATTTACCAACTCAGATGAACTTTCATGCTGACACTGGATAACGTTTGGTCTAGTGTGCTGTGGGTCTGGTACCCGGGCTACCGCATGCAGGGCACCCATGCTAGCCCTGAAGTTGATGAGAAGCTAGCCTGTCACTGGTCCTGGCAACAGTATGATACCTAAGCTATGAATTCGACCACGGCTCTTAGACTAATCATTGTGTATCTGTTTGCAGGAACATTAAAAACGTCACGATGCCACTCAGACACAGACGGAGGGTTCTCCACGTTCTGGTCCTGTTGGCCCTCCTGGTGACCGAGCTCCGGGCGGGGGGAGGGAGGAAGAAGGGGGAGAGGAAAGGGAAGGGGAACAAGAACGCGCGATGTAAGCGGTTCCACTACGTACAGACCATCAGACATCCCACACTGGACTGCGAAGTACAGGTGAGAAAAAAAGGTTCAATATTGAACCATGCATAATTGTTTTTGTTACCATAGTGCTGGATTCTGATTTTAGTCCTGGGCATAGGAATGGTTCTCTCGAGTTAGAGGGGTATGCCGGATGGCCACACGTTCTTAGGGAGGAGGCTGTTGTATCCAGAACCATGCTGAGGCACAGTTTAATGATAGTTCACGCGTAAGAACCGTGCCTAGGACAAATCTACGTTCTTTAACTCCTTGGCCATCAGGCGGCTAAGAGCTGTTCCAGGCATTTTAACGAGGTGCACGCGGGTTTTGTTTTCGACGTTATTGTCTATTAGTCTGCTTGACGCATAGGAAATTATGTAACCGCAGATTGTTAGGAAGGTCAAATTGGAGGTCGCAAATATTCCAATCATAAAATCAAGGGACACAGTTCCAATTTCGGTCGGTCAACGTCGCAAAATGGGAATTAAAGAATAAACAAAACTAGAGTTCCACGATCTCATACCTTCGCCAAATGATGTTAGCCTTTATGAATAAGAAATATACTAATCACCCAGATTATGCAAATAGGATCCTCAATTGCATGAATTATATCAGTCTGTTGATCATATTCTCCACCAAAAGACAGTCTTATCTTAACAAAGAATGCCATTTTCTCATAAATTATGCAAATGTGGTCCTTATTTGAATAAGTTATGTTTAATTATGTTCACCTTCACTTAACTTTCAAACACCCCAAGTATGAAACTCCAGGCAGTTACCACTATGCAATTATAACATTTTCTTATTAATTATGCAAATTAAGTCTTCATTTGCATAATCGATATTTGCCTGTGTTTCTCTCGTTCTTAATAACATATGTTACAAGCTTGAACTTCCTATCATGGAATGCAGCTGATTTATAGAATTTCCTCATTAATTATGCAAATTACATCAATATTTGCATAATTGTAATATCATTATGTCAAGCATCACTTAAGCTACCTACATACCAAAAATCACGATGATCCATCAATCGGTTCTTGAGTTATCCTCTTTTAAACATTTGTCCTTTAAACCCCCCTGCAGTTCTAGAGCAAGCAACTAGGGGGCTCATACTCATGTCACTTCATCCCCAGCACAAGAGCTATCTACCATCTAAATTTCGTCACCCTAGCATGTCTGGATCATGAGATATCAAAACCGGAAGTTCTGCTGCAGTACCATGACAAGCCGCCAGGGGGCCCAAAATCTAATCATTTTGAGGTCTCATCAAGACCTACCCACCTACCAAATATCAAGTCAGTCCATTTAAGCCTTCTCAAGTTATCGTGTTTACACACACACACACACACACACACACACGAACGCCTCTGAAAACATAACCTTCTTGGCGAAGGTAAAAATGGACGAAATCCTTCTAAATCAGAATCTAAATCTGAGTACCTCAGCAAAATACTGCTCCAAACCACCAGAGTACCCTGTGCTCAGTTTGACATAGATGACGCGGTTTGTTTGTGTCCATGTCCATGCACTATTAACGACGCACAATGACGTCACACGCCGCATTTACCTTAAATGGGCCGCGGCAGGCGATTGGGAAAACATGTCTTCGATATCACTTCATTAGGATCGATCCACCCATTGATTAAACCTGAAGTATTCGGTACATACATGTAACCACAGCCTATCTGGTATTGAAAATGCATGTCACGATGATTGTTGAAATAAACGACGTTGCAATAATTTAATTTATGATATCCTGGTACTTTTTATCATTTTATCAGTTAACGGAGTGTTGGGACAATTGTAAATATGGGGTAGAAAATTCAGCTGTATTCATCTGTTCTATGAGAATGCAATATAACTATATAACTAAGGCTAGGATCGGGTACGGTTACGATTAGTCTCCGTGTATTTATAGATTTGCCTCAGGCACGGTTTTGGAAAGGTCTGGACTATACAGAACCGTGCCTGAGCAAACTTCTGTATAGAGTACGGTTCTGAATACAACATACATCTATCTACTTGTAGTTGTGTGCTTACTGCGTCTCATACTGGACAGCTCTCACCCAACCTCTGCTTGGAGGGTATTTTATCCTCCGTACGTTATCCACAACCGTGTTCAGGCACGGTTCTGTAGTCCTCGCGTATCCAGAACCGTGCCTGTGGCAAAGATATGTTCTTGGATAGCTATGTGTTTGTGTTCTACCCAACCTCTGCTTGGAGTTGCATGTCTACTCTCTCCTACACGGCCCAGCTTCCCATCCAACCTCTGCTTGGAGAGAATTATGTTCGACGATCCGACGGGACTCCTACCCAACCTCTACTTGGAGAGTAGCCTGATCCTAACCCCAGCCCATTCAGGCAGAGAACTAGATAGGTCCGGTTCTAGATACGACAGAGACCATCTTCTGCTTGAAGTTGCATGTTTACCACGTCCTACATACACGGCTCAGCTGGCCGGTTGACAGGCGGAGTCATCGGCGCGGAAGGAACAGATTACCCGCGGCGTAGTAAACCAGCCAGCCCTGACACCTGCTTAAGTACCAACCGGGGAATTAACTACGGTACTGATAGTGTGTACGCAGGGATAGCCTTGATGCCAGATATATAACACGCTAGGCCCGGTAGGTCCCGTTCCACTCTGTCCATCTCCATTTCTGTAGCCCTTGGGCCACACAGTTGCGCAAGCACTGCAGCAGGGGGCTAGTTCACTGGTAGTGTTGTGTGTGTTTTTTTTAAGCTTCCAATGCTCTTTCTCATAGATGCTGAGTGCTAAGCAGAGAAAGCAATATGTACCATTTTTAAAACCTTAAGTATGAACTCCGACAGGACTTCCCGGTTACAAAGCGAGCACTCTAACCGATTTAAATATTGCACCGGTTGAAGCCTGGTAGAGGCTAGAGAAGTGGTATCGGGTCTAGTGACTGAAGCTTGGTAAAGGCTGGCTACATATATAGAGCAGCTCCTAGTGAAACTGTAGCGGCTGGAGTGACTGACTCTCCCCGATGGTTTGTAGCAGACGGCGCGGGGAGACTGTTTATACCGGCGACAGCCTCCGGGCTGTGCCGGCCGCTGGGCTGTCCTCAACACGCCGTAAACACGGGCATGAATCAACGGGACTGTCGGGCTTAAGAAGTACAGTGAGCGGAAAATAATTTTAAAATGAAAGTTCATTGCAAATACATGCCCGAGGGCTAATTGCAGTTACAAACAACATAGAAAGAAAATACAGTGGTATGTGAGACTATATCTACGTCTAACATTATACTATATTCTACAACATACATTTGTACATGGTACTAGTTTTACTGGGTTTGACTTCTTCTTTTTAGGCAATGGAAGACGAATTTACCCACTTCTTCTATAATATGTGGGTTCTTTGATTTTAGTAGTAAAATTGTTTTTAGTACTCCTTGAGCGAACCAACTCCTTTTGCACGCAATCTGTCTATTTGGCCACTTCTGTAAGCCTGGTAGAGGCTAGTGAGGTTGTAGCGGGTCTACACCTCCGGGCTGTGACGGCCGCTGGGCTGTCCTCAGCACGCGGTAAACACGGACATGAATCACCGGGATGTCAGCGGGAACGTCTCATCGACCGCTAGGACGACTGAAGTGTTCTAGCCTGGGTGCCAGACCGTTTCCAGGGCTTACACGTACAGACGAGCTCCTCAGACCCAGGGGCAACATGCTAGCCTGGATGCCAGACTGTTTCCAAGCAATAACGTCTAACCGACCGCTAGGGCAACTAAAATGTTCTAGCCTGGGTGCCAGACTGCTTCAATGGTCTGCACGTACAGACCAGCTCCTCAGCTTTAGGGCCAACATGCTAGCCTGGGTGCCAGACTTTTTCTAGGGCCTATCCAGACCAGCTCCATATAGCTCCAAGCAAGAACGTCTCACCGACAGGGCGACTGAAATGTGCTAGACTGGGTGCCAGACTGTTTTAAGGGCCAAGAGGTACAGACAAGTTCCTAAGCTGCAGGGCCAACATGCTAGCCTGGATGCCAGATTTTTTCCAGGGCCTACAAAGGTCAGCCCTTTGGCTCCAGGGCCAACAAGCTAGCCTAGATGCCAGACTGCTTCAAGGGTAGCTCCAAGGTCAAAATACCCCAAAGGAAACTTAACCACAGACACCCCCCTCCCCGAATGAAGTTAGATACTTGCAGGCTGGCTAACTCGAGGAATGGACGTAGGTTTCATGTGCCAAAGTACAGCCAAATTTCTCTTAGAGCGGCCCAGAAAACTATGAAACTGGCAAGGTGGTCTTGTGGTTAGGGATGTTGTCTTTACACCTATTTCCTCACTCGTAAAGATACAGGACCCGTGTTTGATAATATCCACACCCCGGGCAAGTTAAAGAGCTCAAAACGAGTACGTTACTTTACAGTCTCTGGTCTCCAGGTTGACATCTAGGAGAGGTGATAGACACCTGTTATGTCAATCCTTCAGCAAATGTTTTGAATCTCAATAAAAAGCCTGGTACGGCGTTAATAGACCGTTACGATCTGTGGGGCATTACTGATAAGACGTGACAAGGTACACAACAGGTGTGTGGCCGGGAACATTACCTGATAACAGGTGTCAGAGGACAGTTTATAAATTACAGTTGCAGTGCAAAAATACAAAATACGTCAAGCAAATGGACAAATTTTCTGAGGAGTCAACTAAACATTTTAGATAGCATTCACTATCTTTAATTGATGACTGAGAACTCCGATGTAAATAAGATATCGGATGGTATCTAAAATATTCGAGTACTGAGAGAACTTAGGAATACCCAATGTCTTATTCCGTATTCCGAAAGGTCTCTGGTGAAAGATATTGGATGCTATCTGAAACTTGTGCTCTTTAGATGATCCATCCAGTAGCTTGATTTATTTTGCAATTTGTATCATGCAATTCGTCCAACTGGATGTCTAACTTTTATCAATGTGCAAAAGCCTGGGGGAAACTCAGAGCCCTACATCATTTGGCCAAGAGCGACATTGTGGTCGATCATGACGGCAAAATGCTCCACACATAAACAAATACCTCGAACTTTTCACTGAGGTCTTGGCCAAAAATAACAAGCCACGAAAAGTTTGTTCAAGACTACCGTACAATCTTCAAGCAGATGTAAAGGCCCAAAAAGAAGAGTCAAATCGTCAAAAAAAGGTGCAACACTAGAAAAGATCGATGAATGTTGGTCGAAATATCGTCAAAAAAGGTGTACAACACATAGAATGAGTCGGATGCTTATATCTGCTGGGAGAATGCTACTGTAGAGAACAGAAGCAAATTGGCAAGGAGCTACTTTCAAAAACAACTTCACAGAGCGTAACGTATCGTTCTGATGAAAGATTGTTACGAATATATGTATCATATATAAACACACGTCAGCGTTTAAATTGTTTAGTTAACCTTTAAGCAGACGCGTTTTGTCAAGACTTGTCAGAAATAAATCGCTGATCATGATGACATTTCCAGAAATCATTCAACTCTCCAAACGCACGTCAACCTTTAAAATCATTCTTTGCTTAACCAAAACTTTTACGTTAACGATCTAAACATGAGATAAACTGGACAGGTTGTTTTCTTTCTCTCTAAACTTGGCGCTTATGTTTAGCTTGCGGTCTGTCTTTAATTACAATGACCTTTAAAAAGCCTGACTCACCCAATCTGGGTTTCCGACGTTGTTATTTTTACATCGCTGATTTATTTCTGAATTATCAACAAATGGAGATCCGTTTCGGAAAGGATTAAACTATGAGTAAGTCATCCGATGAGGGTGGGCGGTGTGGCTTGTGCTCATGTGTCATTAGGAAAATAACTTTGTAATCTTAGCCTCCAAACCTTGCATAAGTGTCAAATACATGAGAATCATTAGCCTCCATAGCATGCCAAAATCTGTGGGGGGGGGGGGTCTTCAGGGTCTTTGGGTGCTTTTATGTGCTATTTTCTGATAGCATATACAGTAGACAACATAGCCGGCCTGGTTGAATTAACCCCGTTTTTAGAACTGGGCTGATCAGAAAACAGCCGAAGATCACCAAACCCCAAGTTCTATAAGCCTGCTACGGAGGCTACTGTAATGTAGACACGTTACATCAGTCTGTCACAATGTATGTGGGCAGTACAAACTAAGAAAACACTGGCTGGCAATATAGTAAAATTAGCCAAATGGTGAGAATAGTTTGCTCAGGCTAGAATATGGCCACTGTAGGGTTTTACTGAAATGTTACCCCAACGAAGTTATAACATCCCTTGCCGCGGTTCACTCTTCTGGCCAATTATTCACCCTACTTTTTTTGCCGAATTCTATAACCCCTTAGCCTAGGAAAGCCTGCTAGAGACTAGCCTATGGGGACAGCCTCGAATCTAAGTTGTTTTAACTTTAGATATTTATGTTTTTGAAGGAAAATATTTTGTTTTTTCTCTGTTTCCTCTTCTTCTCGAAACAAATACGGTCAATGATGATCGGGATGAACTGAACCAGACGTCTGTCACCATGGTAACTGCAATTTTATAGCAGGATTTAGACTCCTATCACCATTTATGAATGTGTTTGAGTAATAATTAACAGAGCAGGCCATATGCGAAGGTAAACATTATGCATTTGCTTTGCAAATGTTACCTTTCTAGTTTATTTTGTCTTTTCTAGAACGTCCTGATGGCGAGGTGTGAGGGTGCCTGCCGCCGGGCCTCCAGAACGGACCCCATCATAGAGTTCTCTCCCATCCTCAGACATCCGTTTCAGTACAGGGTGAGTAGCGCAAATTTCTTGCAGTGTTTAACCAATCACGTGCCGTGTTAGCAGCCACGTCGACACTGGGTCAATGGTATCTGGTAGACGATGTCGGCCCTCGTCGCGGTTGAGTGAAGGGGTATTCAAAATGGCATTCAGTGTTTGTTTATTTATTGTCGCTGTTTGTTTGTTTTCCAGAGACAGAGCTGCCAGGCGAAACTGTCGAAGCTAAAGGCGGTGAGGTTAAAGTGCACGGACGGTACCTTCGTCACGGCCACTTACAGATATATCACCAAGTGCGCCTGCGCGGCCTGTCCACCAGACTTCACGCTTCCCTAACGGAGATTGGAACTTCCAGGAATTTTACATCCGGGAACTTCCAGGAACTTTGCATCCGGGAACTTCCAGGAACTTTGCATCCGGGAAATTGCTTCCAAAAATTTTGCATACCGGAACTTTGCATCGGGGGAATTTTCATCCGGGAACTTTGCATCCGGGGACTTTGCATCCGAGAACTTTGCATCCGGAAACTTTACATCCTGGAACTTTGCATCCGGGAACTTTGCATCCGGGAAACTTTGCGTCCGGGAAGCGTTTGCTTCTTCCATGATAAATAAACAAGCAGAGTTGAAACTACCAACAATATTGCTTCGCTCCAGAGGCGTTGCCAAAAATTGTGGTGCGAGCGCGAACAGTCACACACCGCAGCACATTGCAATTGATTGTAGAGGGCACGAAAAAAAAACGCCCACAAAAAGGTCTACTGATTGTGCTTGTGGGAAAACTTTGCGGTATCGCCGAATCTGAGGGTCGGTTTGCAACGTACGGCAAAGTGTCGACTTTGAACGTCTTGAAGACTGACTTTGACAACGTGCACAAGAGGGCGAACAGTTTATACGTAACTTGTAGCAAGAGACCTTGCCGCGTTCAATATTTACAGCTGGAGAGGGGATTGTTTTAATGTAAATACTTCTAAAATATTGTGACTCTGAGAATCGGAAGACTGCTTTCATTGGATGTACATGACGTTGTATGTATAAAGAGAAAGAACACGCACAGATTGTGAAGGTTTAACTGTATCTGTTACATATATACGTACATACAATTGTATTATAAGTCAAATAACATGTTCTGATATTATATATACATATAAGTGTAAACATGTAACGATCGCACAGAATAGAGATCAAGAAATCTTAATAACCAAACGGTTAAAATAGCTTAAATTTAGACATTCTAGTTCCGTGTCTACGCTATATACACATGAAGATATGTGCCTCAAGACGTCGAGTTGTAAGAACATAAAACGCCACAGTGAACTAAAGCTGCATCTATCGTAGTCGTGTATGTGCATTTTACAATGGACAACTTACTATACACAGTACTAAGTATCTTGAATGTGAAAATGACATTTGTATCACGTTAGAGACAGAAAAATCTCACATAAAAGAAAACTCCAGACAATAAAATCAAATAAATGTTTCTGGTGATAAATTCGAGTCAAACTTTACTTTCTTATACTTGTACGCAATTTCCCATGGTTTCTCTTCGTACAATGTTGGTATCTTTTTCAGCAGAACTGGCAGTGAAAGCTGAATAAATACGTTAACTCTAAACTTAGGTACTGGTAATTGCCACACAATTGTATTAAATGGGGGTCCATATAATACATGTACTACCATGTACGTCACTATACTATATACAGTTGATTACTGATGTTGTGGTAGCTCTCCGTTCTGTAGAAATCTTTGACGTCAGTATCAGTGGAAATCATGACGTCACTATCTGTGGAAATCATGGCGTCACTATCAGTGGAAATCAAGACGTCACTATTAGTGGAAATCAGTGACGTCACTATCAGTGGAAATCATGACGTCACCATCAGTGGAAATCATGACGTCACTTTCTATGGAAATCATTGACGTCACTATCAGTGGAAATCATGACGTCACTATTAGTGGAAATCATGACGTCACTATCTGTGGAAATCATAACGTCACTATCAGTGGAAATCAATGACGTCATTAGCAGTGGAAATCATGACGTCACTATCAGTGGAAATCATGACGTCACTATCTGTGGAAATCATCTATGTCACTATCAGTGACGTCACTAGGAGGGTCTGTATGGGGGTTCCAGGCAACGTTTATTGATGCGTTACTAATGCGGCGGTTCCCCGTCGTCCCCCTCGGTGGCCGGTGCCAGGAACATGGCGCCGAAGAACGACAGTTCCCTAGCGACGCTGTAGTCATGGCGGAGGGTCAGGGGCTCGACCTGGGGAAAACATGATAACATATCTTACTTTAGCCTGGTTACTGGACCTATTATAGCTCCAGAGTCCTACATTCTCTCCGCATTTACTCTCTATTTGCGGAGAGGATGTAGGACTTGGGAGCTATAATAGGTCTCGTAATCAGGCTCTTAAATCTAACTTTAGACTGACTCCGTGTATATTACAGAAATGGTACTTTTTTAAAGATTGAAAAAAAAAACGCTATATATTCGTAAACGCAATCAAAGTGCTTAGCACAGCGACAAGATTTCGGTCAGATCTCTGACCCTTATCGTGTTGAGATGACACGAAACCAAAAATAAACAAATAAATGTTGGATTACAAGAAGCCACAAACAAACAAACAAACCTGTATCCTGTCGTGAACCCAGAGTTCGAAAACCCCTCCGTGATACCGGCTCTCCTGGTCTGCTATCGGATTTCCGTTAGAGTTCAACTCAGCTCTGAGAAATATCATAGATGGTTAGGGGGTATATTAACTTCATTTAAATGTTTGTACAAAACAAATAATGCAGCCTTCCCTTTTGTGGTCTGCTGTTAGGGAATCCCACGCCCAAGTGCTGAGTGTCACTCAACTGTATGGACACAAGCAAACACACACACATACACGCGTACGCACATACACGCACGTGCGCACACGGGCACACAAACACAAACACGAGCAAACTCACACACACACACACACACACACACACACACGTACGCACACACACACACACACACACACACACACACACAAACACATACTAAACGTAACCGGCCTCACTTTGTAGTGTGCACGCTCTCCATAAGGGTAGTCTTTGCTTCACAACTGTCGTCACGTTCCTGGTAACACGGAATCCGGACCGTGCGGTGTCCGATATACGGGTTATGCGACTCGCTCAGGTTATGCGGATGGTAGTAGTACGTCATCTAGCGGATAAAGTCAGTACTGCATCATTACCACCGTTATGAAATTTGCATATAAATGAACAATATGCCTAAAAGGCTTTGGATAGGGGTAAGGGTAAGCTGGCTTAGCTAAATCTCAAAATGGAAAAATTCAAGATTTGCATGGATACTGCATGCATTTTCAATATTTTGCTTAGAGCATACTTTGGGCCCCCTAGCAGCTTTCTTTGGAAGTTCAACATCACACTCTACTTAGATTCTCACCTGACTGTAGACATAGTACGTTCCCGACACCGTGATGTGGATGTACTTGTGCTCTGGGAACGAGAAGTAGTTGTGGGTCTGGGGAGGAGAGTTGTCGGCCCACTGGAACACTGGTGAGAGACCAGAATGACATTTTTTTTTATTTCTTGATCGATCAGATATTTTTTGACAAAAGTTGTTTTCGTTTATTGCTTTTTTATTGCCCCATAAAAAACTATGGCGCTATTGTGCTCATCAAGACCTACACAGGGTACTTCCTTATGCGACGGGTATAGAAATAGAAACTATCTGCCAGGAGACTTAAGCGTGAGATGGGTACCTGTATCGTTACCGATCAAAAAAAAGGAAAGTGTGATAGTTACCTGGGTCGCTCATAGTGAAGGGGCGCTGTTGGGTCGAGCTGTGCTGTAAGGTCACGTGAGCAGACTGGAAATGGTGGTCCTGATGATGGTGTGACGTCACGCCGGGAGGGCCGTCTACGGAGGGCAGACAATAAAACGGTAAAAATAATGAGTGAAGAAAATCAAGAAAGAACACACTCCAACAGGTAAGATCACTGGTAAGCAATCATGTATTCAATTATAGCATGAAAGTTCCTCTGTGTTGGTATACTTTATCATGACCAAAAAGGGCTAAACGTTCTAGCCAACACCGACTAAATTCGGACCAACCGTCCAACACTCAACAGAGACGGGGGGTGACACAGGTTATCTGACACGTACGACCCTTTGCTGCAATCAGGTGTTTCCGACGTCACGTCCCGGAAGCTGCAGTAGAAGGGTCCATTCCGTGAACAATGCTGACGGAGTCGGTCAAAAATTTTGGTAAGTCCCAATTTACTTAGTGTTGGCAAGAACGTTTATCCCTTTTTGGTCATAATGTATTCAGTTACGTACCTGCCATGGCCCTCTCCCGGGGGTCCCCTCCACACGCGCATTTCCCCGGGGGCCCGGGCGGGCCCCGCAGCCCCGACACGCCCGGCAGCCCGGGGGGACCCTGCGGCCCGGGAACGACGGTGTGGGACCCGGGAACGAGAACGGTGGGCCCCGACACGCGGTTGGCGCCCGGTGCACCTGGGGGAACGGGAGCAAACTGAACTCAGAATTATTTTATATAAAATCATACTGATACATACTTTAGCGTATTCCTTCACCCCAAAGGAGAGACCCACTGTTTTGGTGTGTCTGTATTTCTCAATTCACGTGAAGTCTGCCATTTCTGCTTAGCGGTTACCTTGTTGTTGCCAGGCGTTTGCGTAAAAGTGTTTTGTTGTGTACCACAACCTGAGAGATGTGGTCAAGCAACATAACGGTGCAGTGCCGTAAGAAGTCGCTAGAGGACGCCCGTTACCTACAGTATTGCGACTCATCATCATGTTCTTCAAACCCGCACGACTCTGTTCCATTAGTTTGGGTACAGAAAAATTCTTCTAAGCTTTGTAATTGCCAAATTCTACATAACAAAAGGATGTCTGTCCGGGCAGCCTATTGAAAGCTCATTTGGGGGAGCAAACTAGTTTAGCTGTCTTTTTACCTTTAACGTAGACTTAAAGACCCTCTTCGTGACATTGCAAAAACCACCGGACACAGTTTATCCCAGTTTAAGCATATTTTCTGCCCTCCTATCCGGTGTGGCGCCGCCCAGACTTAAGACTAAGATAACAAAGTCACTATTTCCTGTTTTTGTCGCCTTAACCAGACGTGACTTTCTCTTAATTTTCACTTTCGTTTTTCAGGTTCATCACAGGTTCACAAACACGGTCCTTTTAACTCAGTTCACCTGTGTCCACACACCTGTAACCTTACCAAGAAAACACCTGTCAGCTCACCTGAGTTCCAGGTAAAGGAAGTGTAAATCGATATGTCGAGTTATCATAACAAGTTTAAGATTCCTCTGGCATGTTAAGTTACCCAGCAATAGTCACAACCAGACTCCTTTGGAGGCTGAATAAATAGTATAAATCGGCCTAAAGGAATGTAGCTGGCCAGGGGAGTTGGCCGGCCAAAGAGGGTCCAGTTGCCTGCAACGTAACCAACCCCCTGGTCAGCTACATTATTTTTAGGCCGATTTCTACTATTTATTCAGCCTGCAAAGGAGTCCGGTGGAGACTACCCCAACAAAGTCAACATAATAACATTATGCCTCTTTACAAACGTTCTGTAGTCTTGCACATCTTTCATCTGTCTTTCTTCATGAGCTAGAAACCTTTATTAATGTGTAAAGTGAATGCGCGGATCAGTTTTATTTCTCAACACGATTTTCCAGCTTGCAATTTTGAGTGTGTAAACGATGTAAAACAAAACTGACGCTGGCAAGAATATTATAGGAATGAACGTAACATGAGTAACCTTTAAAACATTATTACTAATTAATATAATGACGGAGAATGTGTTGAATCAAGCGAAATGCTATATAGAATAGCGAAAAATGCAGACAGGAGTTAGCTTCAAGCGCATCTCTGTTAGATAAGACAGAATCATGCAGTGAGAATAAGGCGCAAATCATCACCGATTGGCGCAGGTACATGTAATTTGGACGTCCAAAATCGGTCGTAGGCATTTTAGCGATTTCTGCCTTCTGCTTTGCCAGTCTGGTTTTGTTTTAAATAATCTACTGTAGCGGTGCAAGCTTACGCATCTAATATGTCCTTAGCTTCTAACATGCTTCGGGAGGCGGCTGAAAAGAGTAGAAATCGGCCAGGTAGAAAGATAGGATGCCAAGGGAGTTTGGTCGGCTGGAGAGAAACGTTCGGGAGCGGCAAACTGTACTCTCCAGCCGACCAAACTCCCTCGGCATGCTATCTCTCTATTTGGCCGATTTCTACTCCTTTCAGCCGCCTCCTGAAGCCTGGTAGAGGCTAAGATGTCCTCAAATTAGACAGATTATTCCAAGACCCCATACGCAGCAGCTTAGCTGCAAGCAAACTTTATAATGAGGGACTTACAGCCGGGAGCTGTGGGGTCTTTACGACACTTCTTCCTCCCCTTCCCTGTGAGAGTTGTGAGTGAGTAAAAGTGTTAATAGCTAGTGGCAGATTAGTTACTAAAAAGCCACATGCGTGTTTTGTAATGATAAGGGCTGTGACAGAACAAGGCTTTGTTGTAAACAACTTAATAATCAGGTACTAGCAGCCAGGGAGCTCTGTGGCCTTTTCTACATGTCTTCCTCTAGCCTCCTTAGCAGACTCTGGGGTCGGGCTTTTTTGTCTTATAATGTTCTGTTTTGTGATTGTCACATTGTATATGAGTTCTGATGGTACACAATTTATTTACGACTGGGTTCTATCCGAAACGGGCACAATCAGCACTGATATATAACCTGAAAACCGCACATGATAAAAACAAACAAAACCGCCCAATCCGTGGGCCTGGTAAGGAGGCTACTTGCCTGGAGCTGTTAGTAGTGGGTAGGGAAAAGACAAGATACAAGACAAATGTGGGGGGGTTCAAAGTAGACTTTTCTTGAAGTCTTACGTTAGTGTGAAGACGCGTAAGACGAAAGGGTTAAAACAGGGATTTCTAATTCGACATTTCTTAAGCCACTTATAAGCTAGTCTTACAACTTGTATGGTGTGTGAATATTGTGTGTAATGTCTTAGGATTTTTGGACGAGGTTTAACAGAACCGTATAACTCCAACACGTGCTATTAAGATAGCGACAACGTTACATCAATGTAAACTATTTGATAAATCATGTCCACATCGGAAGTAGAACTGTTTACATAATATTGTATAAAGGACGCTCCTCCCGTGTTTGTGTTTTTCTTACCTCGTCTCATTTTCCGCTTCAACTGGGATAGACGCGGGTCTGGGGGAGGGGCTGCAGAGAGGGGGAAAACAGAAACAGTTAGACAAGAACTGTGACATTGAGCATGACACATTTGAAATTTTGACTGCCTTCGCCTAGTTGAATCCACGAAGAGAGTTGTACGTATACTACATTCTCCAAGCAGATGTTTTGGAGGCTGCAAACAGTATCTAATTGGTAACAGAGTATCAGTACAATAGCATCAATACGCCACCGAAGTTTGGCTGGCTAAAAATGTACCAGTACAAAAGTACGAAAGCCTGATAAAAATGCTTAAAAATCCGTCAAAATAAGCCGAAGCACAAACCTATGCTCGGACAGTACGTATATTTTCTCTGTTGACAAACGATATTTGTAAACGTACCTGCGAAGACTTGCAATAATTGTCTTCTTCGTCTCGCCGAAACAGGCAGCTCGTCGTACCCTTCAGTATGTCTTGGCTCTGCATTCTGTTAAAATGATATTGTCGTCAAGTCAATGCAATGTAGGTATAGGCCAGAGGTTTCTAGTATCCATCGCTAACAATGCTGGCCGAAAAATAGTAAACTTTAGCCAAATTGGGAGAACAATTTGCCAAGGAGTATTGGTCATTAGGTTTCATTTGCCCCTTCAGATATAATTAAGGGGGACGTTACCCTTACCGTCGGTGGGCTCACTCTCTTGGCCAATTACTGACCCCCTACGAATTCTACTGTTCATAACTCCTCAGGAAGTCCTGGTGGAGGCTATGAGTTATCCATGGTCACAGCAGGTAGTGACCCTGAGACCGACCGAAACTGAACACAACAAGTACGCTAGACACTTGGCTGTGCAAGTCATGTGTGGATCCATGCAACAGTGAAATGTCACAAAAAGGTTACCCCATACTAGAACCAAGCTTAAGGTTATAACCTCCCGTTGCTAGAATAAAACGCTGTGCCAGTTACGGAATGAGCATTGTGTGTTACACGTGAGTTGGAAGACAGAAAAGCTATTACCAGTCTTGAGACTTAAAAGGGCCCCGAGTTTTAAAGCATAACGTGCCCAGTGCCTAGTTGTGGTGCAATGATTTTCCTATTAAGACAGGTCGCCGTGAATGTCACCTGCCCCGGGAAAATGTCACCAAATGTCAGCCCTGTATCCATAAAACAAAAGACTGGCTATCCAGTTACACAAAGTTACGAGCACGGTTACAAAGACTGGTGGCACCAGCCCCACATTGTTTAAGTCTATACTGTCTCTCTCCATGCATTACCTTGCTTACCTGTTGCAGGTATGCGTCGAGGTTTTTTGAAGGCGTCGTCGCCATGCCAGGTTCCAATTTTATGCCCATTTCCTGCTCCCGAATGTTAACAAGTGTCTGCACGAGCCCGCTGAGGTGTTCAATACGGTTCTGGCTGTCCCTGACCGCCTGTTCTAGCCGCGCGCACTTCATGTACAGCGCGCAGAGGCCAGCGGCGAGCAGGCTCACCGCCACCACAACACCGCACACGTGCCGCGGGGACAACAACACGCCCGCCCCCGCCCGACCGAGCCGCCCGGGAATCCCCTTAGAGGGGGTGTCCCCGCATTGCTGCGGCTTCTCAGGGATTCCCTCGGTGTGGGCGGGACGCGGGGAAGAGTAGAGGATCGCGAAACTTTGCTCCATGGCGGCGGAAAAGTTGCCGAAACTCTCGCTCTCTCTCCGGAAAAATTTTCTCAGCAGCTAGCCCGCCCCGCGCCCTTTATACCGAACGCCATCTTGTTGACAAGGGTTTCGGTCCCCGGACGACTTTTTTTTCCCGCGCGCAGCCAGCTCACACAGGTACCGAACTGTCGTCCAATTCAGCTGTCAATCAATCCTGACCTTTTTACCTCGCCGACATGATTGACATGACCCCTCCCCACCCCTCGCCGGGCCTTCTCAGTTGTCACGTGACGATTTTTTCGTGGAAGACCGAAATTAAGAAGGGGCCTAACATTAGGGGTGCTAAAGTACACCGTACAGGTACTATTCTCTTAAAGGTAACCTTAAGATACTCCTTAAGCACACATGGACCAACTTCGTACGATCACATCATACCCAGGTGAGCTACCCATGCTCACCTGTGGTTGACAACCTTCTTAAAACTCTGCCCAAGAAAACTTTTAAGGTTTGAGAAAGCTCCTCGTCAACAGGTGTCAGGACAGTAGTCCATGTTGACAGTGGTTAAAACCGCAGACAGTGTGTCTTTAGATTTTTATCGACCCATGCAACCCCAAACGGTTGTGCCTGACAACGTGCTAAGTAAGTATGAAACAGCATGACACAACATGCCAGCGATCCACCGGTCGAAGACAAGGGTGTACGTCTCAGATATCGTGAGCCTAGCAGGGTGGATGCCCTAGGTTCTATTTACTAGTATTCTTTTGTTGTTATATGTACAATAAAAGTATCCATTCAGTAATACATAAAGGTCTCGAATGGGTAAACAAGCAAAACCTGACAACGTGCTAAGTAAGTATGAAACAGCATGACACAACATGTCAGCCATCCACCCAGTCTTTTACAGTGAGGGTATGCGTGTCAAATGTCGGACCTAGCAGGGTGAATGCCCTGTGTTCTATTATACTCGTATTCTTTTCCTGTAAGAGTACTTCATTCATTCATATGGCTGGCTAAACAAGCAAAAACCACGGAGACGGAGTCTTATAACTAGTAACCTTCATGAACGTTTATATGCCGTATAGTATAGTATAGTATATCTGCCATTTTGAAGTTGAAAACTGTGGGATCTCTAGTGCAGCACCCCCAGGTATACACAGGTTATATATATGCATGAGTACATCGTACTCGATGACATTTTATTGAAGATCTGTTTAGAGGCATTTTCAGGGTGGCAAATTGTGTGACCCGTTGAAATTATATATGTTAGTAGACGTTATATCTAACCCTACCCCCGAAACCAAGGTGACCAACAACGATCCGTCCCTTGAGTCAATGACATTTGAAAGCTATGTCTGTCAGGGACGAATCAACAAGATGGGGTTGGGCTACGTTACAGCGTCTGTCTGCCCGTCTTTTTTGTGTATTTACTATGTGTGAATATGTCTTCTGAATTTTTGGCTGGTGCATGTATCTTTCTTTGCATATATGTTGCCTACCTACTTTCTGATACCTAGTACCTCCCTTACAACGACGTTTTATGTTCTGGTTAGGTTTGTTTACTATGTTTTCCCACATACCTGTACTATTACACACAAACCTACGCCACCGATATTCTAAATATACACATATATGTACAAGTTTACTTACTTGCTTTATCCAGCCGCGTCTATAGAGCTACTAGGTGGGATGGGGTCGAAATATACACATCCACAAACACTACAACACACCTCCTACAAACCCACCCATCCACCCTATATATACTAGTACTTGATAAGTTAGCTGGCCTCTAGCTCTCTCGTGGGTGACTCCAATAAAGAGCCTTTAATATTCAAAGTCATTTTTACATCTGAGGCACACCTGTATGTAAACCACCTGAAACACACCTGGCCAGGTACGTGTCTGTTGGTGCAGGTATCACAGGTAGGTGATCAGGTACATGCATAGTGAGTAACCAAGTACTTTGCTGGTGTCTGCTGCAGCATGAGTCGGCCCTTCCTTAAGATGATTGACAGACTGTACAAACGACACATCTGAAGATGAACACCGGAGTGACGTCACTGAAGGACGCCATCTTGGATCACAAAATATCGGCGTCTTCTCAGCTGATTGCACTATCTTTCCCTTGCCTCAAGACCATGAAGTCTTGTAAAGTAGCATGATCCTTAAAAACATCTGTAAAACAATAAAGAACAGGGTCACACATACACAGTAGTTACCTGGTGTGCAAGCGACACATGTCACTACTTCCAAATAAGTATCATAAGTTAAATTTCAGTTTCGTCAACTTAAAAGTCTCTTCTGGCTGAGTTTTCTGGTTTCTATTTCCAAGAACCTAGTACAGTGTACGAACGTTTTGTAAGTGCTACTTAGAATTTAGGCTGAAGTAGTTTCGGTCACGAATTTAAGTTGTAGTAAGTCACATCACGGACTGTTCTAGCAGGCTGCATATTAATGTACACAGTTCATTCACTTATCTCGGTAAGGGTGGCCACCCATTCACCTAACCTTACTTATAATGTGTAAAAGAAACCGTGGACAGCAGGGATCCAGGAAAGAACAAAAACACCAGGTTCCAAGAACGCTTGGTAGTTCGAAGCTTCGCCATGCCAGAAAACTCCATCCAGGGTCGAGCCATGTGGCGATACGTTGTCGTGTACTGCATGTGGAAAGAGTACATGTATCTATCACAACAGACAGGTTAGCTTGCAATTCTTACTGTCTATCTACCTTTCAATCTGTAACAAAACGACGAGAATTTAACGTCTAACAACGTAACGTTACAGATATAGCTTCTCGCAAGAGCTTTGTATTCACTACGTTATTAAAGTCGTTTCACTTTCAGTTCCAAAACCTATATATGCAGTCCGAAGAAATCAAAGCGCCTTGATCATGTGTAATTAAATTAGGAACGGTAGAATTGATAAAGCTATACGTGGGTGTCATGTCCATTGTGTGTCTGTAGTATTTTGTTATATCATTCATTCATTCGTTCATCCACCCATCGATTTTCATCGAGGCAGACCGCAGAAGTCGTTCTAAGGGTAAAATTAACACAGATATTTTATTCACCGTACCAACTTCAGCAACCTGAAAACAGCAAGTTCAAACTTCGTGCCATTCCCAACAAGGCTAGTATGAGCCAGTGTTTCCCTGTAAACATCACGCACGTTGGACAACAAACGTTGGTAACTGTGTGATTTTATTTAACATCAAACAAACGAGCAACTGAACAGTAAACGACATCTACTACTACATTTCTTACAGTAAACAACACAGTGTCGGTTAACAATCAAAACGTGAACTTAACAATAATTTACTTTTCCACACATTTAGCATGGGTTAAAGCACAGAACAAAACACTATTTTTGAAGCAACAAACGATAACTAAACCGTTTATTTGATCTCTTAGCCTAGCAAACGGAAGCAAACAGCTTCAATGTCAGTACCAACAGATAAGAACTAGAAGAACAAAACTAAGTAAAATTGCAACGTCATAAGATCTTTTTACAATAACACATGGCAGTGTTGTTAGCTGGCCGTTTAACCATCACAAACCTAAGAGACTTTAACCATCATAAACCTAAGAGTCTTAACTATACTATTACACTTTATGTACACTTGTGTGGGGGTCAGAATACAAGGCAGTGGCAATGCTGGCCAAAATCAAACACAAGACTTGAACATAAAATCTAAAATTTCCTATGTATACAGAGGTATACATGTATATACGTATCATACTACGCATAAGTACAGTGCTATATACACATGGCAGTGGGTATAGCGTTTTGCACAGAAAATATGAGAAAATTTCAGAGAAATACCAAAATCTCCATATCTTTGCTATTTACAGCATGGTAACATGTATGTATGTATGGATTTCCACATCAGAAGTCTTGATTAAATTCCTACAAAGGTACATTGTACAGGTATTGATATAGACGTTTCCGAGTTTTCCTACAATGAATAATCAAAGACCAAACGTGGATCGCTAAAAGACACATCGTGCGATACCCAACATAACAAATGTTGGGTGTTAGATATACAGTTCTGTTTACACATTTTGACAGTTTAAGTAGGGTAGAGGGTAGAAAGATGCAGCATGCTGGAGAATAGTCTATACTTTGAAATGTTCAAACCCATAGCCACCTTCCCCGAAAATCTGTTTATAAAATCACTTTTTTCAGTGTAATCATTTTTGTACAACCTTTTAGACCCCGCCAAGTTTAAACATGCCGAAGTAGGTCCTATCAGAATGCCAGTCTATGACGGTGTTATCATACAGCACGTACACATACACCCTGTCCCCTGCGTGTATCCGCCTTACCCCTGCTACATAGCCCGTGTTGAAGGGGTACTGGGGCGAGGGTGTCGCCAACGTGCATCGCAAGAAACTCACCCCACTGTTGATCCTTACGGAGTGGCCCACAACGGCGATAGGTGCCTTATATAAAACCTGGGCAGGGAGACATTTGAAATAAAAATTGGATGGCATCTTTCTTTGCAAATTAGCTAGAGTTGTTGGTGACTCTTGGTAGGTTAAGATTTGGTGGGTTTTCATCAGGGGTCTCCCCAGAAATTCTGGGAGAGGTGCTCCCTGATTGTTTGATCGAAAAATCTGCAGCGAATTGTCATGAAAATACTAAGAGAAACCCTAAATTTCAACATTTTGGGAGAGGTGCTAGGATTTTGGGGAGAGGGGGAGCACCCTTGCTTCATTGCTTGGGGAGAGCCCTGGTTTTGTTTTCAGTCACGTTCCTCTGAATTTGAACATCCCAAAGTAGGACCTGTCTGAGTGCATGTCGACCGCAGTGTTTGGGTACAGAGTGGTCACATAGACTCTATCTCCAGCCTGCAAGTTTCTGGCCCCGGCTACATAGCCTGTGTCGTAGTTAAGGGTGGGGGAGGGGGTCGCGCTCCTGTAGTGAAGGAATTTGTCGCCGTTGACTTTCACATAGTGGCCCACAAATGCCGACTGGTCATAGAACAACACCTGTACAAATACACAAACAGGGAAAAGAAACTGTCACAATAACTGATATTTCTTAAGTTTCTGCTAATCTCAAGGCCACACAAATTTAATATCTTGGTTCTCTGACTTTGCCAAATAGTGCTAAATTCGAATAACAACGTGCCAAGTCGGAGCGTAAAGTCTGTAAAGTCTTTCAGGGAGTGAACAAAGTAGAGTGAACATTTTCACTCAAGCAAGTCTGTTTTTATGATGTCCATTTGTTTAAATTTCACATAAAGATATCCAAGAACAAAAACATTAAATTTGTGTGACCTACATGTAACCTATCTAAAACTGTTCTAGATCTTGTAAACATCCTCTATA